CTCTAAAAAGCTCGGGCCGACTGCGAAAGCTTCGCGGAGCTTTGGGTGGAGGAGCCGGAAAGCTCTCACGGCAGTGACGGCGGCGCCGATGGTGGTGGTGGTAACACCGCCGCCAAAATAGTGGGGGGATTTAGATTATTTAACATCTTTTGAGTTATATTTTGTGAAGCATTTAAATTATCTTGAAGATTAAGTTCCTACTTATCTTAATCTTCGAATAAAAATTAAGTAAAAAAATATGAAAGACATTTTTTTAAAGTTTTAGAAGATTATTCAAAGGTAATTCGATTAAACGTAATTAATTAATAATTTAATTTATAAGTTAAAAAATGTTTAGGTTAAACAATTATATTAATGTGTGATATTTCTTATGTTTATGTCAATGCTGATAAACCAAATATTTTATAATAGATAATTTTGAAATGTAATTTGAAAGTTCACGATCAGTTTCTGTATATCTATGAAGAAGTTTTACGGAGGAAGTCACTATAAATGATGCAAATTAAAAAAGGTTTACAACTTTTTTAAGAATTTCTATTTATGGGTTAATTAGAAATATATAGGCAGATATCCAGCCTTTGATCTAATAAGTGGGGTAGTGGCGAGTTGAAGGAATTATCCTTATTACCACTCCCATCCAGACCGTAAACTCTTCCCCTCCGCTCTGGAACCACTCATTTAGCATTAATTCGGAGTTTCTCAAAGTAGTATCCGGAGTATGTCCGGGAATCCCCCATCGTCTTGTGAGAGCCCTGTAAAGTGTTACTGCTGTTATGTCCGAAGAGGGATTCTTGGTGCTGTCAGGGATCCCCATTTCGTCTTCCACAGCTACGTTAGGTGTCCTAATAGGATTTCAATTTTAGATTCCCCTCCCTCATCGATAGCCTTCTAACCGATTATTTATTAACCAAAAGAAACTCTTCATACCCTGAGGGATCCGTCTTCGTAATCGGGGTATATACGGATAATCTTTATATATTCTCTAAGCTTCTTTCAATCAGTTTCATCGCTGATCATCTTCATCATCATCATTTCGTATTATCTTATGATTAAAAGAAGCCAGCGAAGTAATTAACCGCGTTGTGGTTTCTACCTCCCCATAAAATGATGTTGGATATTGTTTCACAAACATCACTTCTATTCTGCCTTATCAATACCAGTCAGTTTGAATACAGCCAGATAGGAAGCTTGCCATTCAAAACTCGTTCTTACTTTGTATAATAATTTCAGTATTAATTTCTGTTTGGTTGAATCTGTTTCATAAATGTAACTCTAGTGATCACGCCTAAATACTTAGTACTCTCATCTAGAAATCAACCTCAAATTGCTCGGTTTAAAGCGTCAATTCTCAAACGATCAGTTTCAAACGAGCACAATGTTGGCAAAGTCGACAGATATATTCTCTGGCTTTTCTATTCGTAAGATCTCTTTTGGGCCAAACACACAACTCTGAGCCACACCATAAATAACTTTCCTATTTCATAGGCCTTTGCTTGAGATGAAAATTATGATCCTTTTGGACACGTATTCACTCAGAACTTTTGTTAGGTATTTTTTTTGCTAATTTTAACCGCCAGATAGCTACAGGCTCAAGTACCAATTTCAAAATTTTGAGGAACCATATTCTTAACAAGAAGCTTATCAGATATTTATTTGTTGTAAGTAACAAACTGAAGTCGATCCTTTCAATAAAACTCCATCATATAGAAACCAATAATTTATTATGTTAAGCCAATGTACCTAATTTACGATGTAGCCTGTACAATGTAGCTAATGTGCAGCAATTTTTAAGTTTACAAAGTGCAATAACTATTAGTATTAGGCGTTGAGGGATACAGCATTCTTACTCGAGTTAATTTTTCAATGAAAAATGATATCTGATAAGATAAGTCAACAAAAGAAATTTCTCTATCCTGAGAATCTGGACCGACCGCAGACACAACATGCACATCATCCACAGAACGTACCCAACATTGAAAGAAGCTGATTTTGTGCTACCTCCAAAGTAAACATTGAAGTTAGTAGCTGTTAGTGACACTGTAGAGAAATACAACGAACAAATTCAATGAAAATAACCAGGCAGAAGCTTTGTTGAATGAGTTGGCGTGGTACTTATGTGGTACTTGTACTGCTTCATGATAAAGTTTTTCAAGTATCAGTTTTCAATTACTTCCACAATACCTATTTTAAATCTGTTTTGATAACCTTGCTTTCGCAGAGATGATACTGCACCTGGATATTCCATGAGTGGATTTCTTTTTACTGAAGGACACAAGTACGGTTAGATGGAAACCTATAGTTGACACCTCTCCTCTGTCTTGAGCACTTCTTACAAGATATTAAGATATTGTACTATCAAATGCACCTTCTATACCTAGGAATATTTCAAGAATCTTACACTCAAATTAATTGATGTGCAGGCATTTGGAACCCATTTGCTTCAAAACTTCTTACCATAGCAGGTAAATAATAAAGAAATATTTTCTGCGATAAATTAAGATAGATTTCGTCTTCTTTAATCGACTTGAATGCACACCAATAATTTTAATATTTTTTTGAGGGACTATCCGTACGGTATAGTAGAAACCACGAGAGCTGGCAGTGAGTCATCACTTAAAAATGGTATGAATGAAGATATGGATGTACGACTTAGATTATTAATTTCACTACATAGGACATTTAAATTAAAATGTACAGTGTGTTAATTAATTATAGTACCCGACGTCATCATTGCAAATTATTGGCAAGTATGCAACCAATAACGCGATTTACGTATTGCCATACGAATACAGTGATATTGGTTGCATACTTGCAATGATGACGTCGGGTACGATAATTAATTAACACAGTGTAGGTTATGTTAGTAATGGAGTCACTGTAGTATCACTGAGTTATATGTCAAAGATTAACCAAGGAGGTTAATAATTTAAAACGTTCACAAACACAACCATAGATTTTTTATTTAATGATTTTCCTTTCAAAAAAAATATTTTCTGTATATATTTCTGTGACCGTTGTCGTGAATCTGTCAGTGTTTTCACAAGACGTTTCGATTTGAGGTTAAGATTACGGTAGGTACATCTGTTAGAAGAACAGACGTACTTTTTCGATGTGGCTATTTGAATTGTACACCAGACATATTAAACTAATGCTGTCTCTTTCTAACACACATTACTCTCTAGCAGATTGTGAATTTTAATTTAAGTTTTTGAATTTATAATAAGATTAATAAGTCTTATTGGTCCACCATTCTTCATTACGAGGTAACTTGAGAAGTTGTAGTAAGTCAGTGTCGAATCTCTGACATCAAAATTCTTGAGTTGCAGAGATTGATTTGAGAGAATCCACTTCATGGCCGATTCTTTCTCTTATACATTTTTTTATTATACATTGTTCGTTTTATTAAATTTCTGTTTTATCACGATGTATTATTACTTATTACCAATGAGGAAGATACGGAAGCCAAGGCCACATATAGCCGAAGCTTTACATTTGAGGCCTTCAACACTGATTACATCCACAATATACAAACTAACGGTGCAAACTCGATACACAATAATTGTTTTTATCTACGACTGCTTGGATAAGTCATCATTACCGCACTCATTTGAGGTGATTTGAGTTACGTAATGAAGTTCATTACCGCACTGGTTTCATTATGTAACGCATTTTTAGCCTAATCAGAACAGACTTAATTTATTGAAACGAGCAACAATACAAAAGAAAAAGTGCTATCTACTTACAGAGAAACAATACTATTTATTATAAACATTAATTGTTATGTTTTTACGTTTCGAAACACTTATTCCAGATGAGTAAACATGTTGTTGAAACTGACAATTCAAAATTGTCAACAATCATTTCAAAATATTTTTATAAATGTCAAATAGACTTTTTAAAGAAATAGATTTTTTAGTAATTTTTAGCAGTCGTAGATAAAATGCTGTATATCACACGTGGGCTAGAGCATAATTACAGTACTCGTGTGATTCTTCACGCTCGTACAGTAATTATGTTTCTAGCCCACTTGTAATATAAATAACTATTATAGCGAGATCACGATGTATTATTATCAACGAGAAAGAAACTGAAGTCGAGGCGTTAAAATTGTGGCTTTCAACACTCATTGGTCAGCAATTCGTCGATCGGTAGCGAAGGAGATATTTACGCTGTTATAAGATCAGCAAATAAAGTAATTTTGATAGAATAAAATTTACTTCAAAGCCAATATAAATAACACTCGAAACATCATAACACAAGATAGCAAAAGTGGTTCTAAGTATTTTTTCTAGTCAAAAAAATAAAGGATTTCATACATAAGTTCAGACCCGATTAGAAATACATATCAAACAGGAATAAACTGAGAGCCTCTCCACTCCACCGCTATGATTGGATTATTTTTTTCGCAATGTACCCGAGACCGCAAAAACAGCCTGTGTCTCACATGAGCGCCTGCAAAATTACCAGGGGCATGTTCCTTAAGTGGTTAAAGGTGTCGAACGCTAATACTTACTTCAATAGAATGAGGTTAAATCAACCAGCAATGATTGTTTTCCAGAAAGAATTTAATTCTATCCTTCTCTGCCATTTTCCTCCAAATTCTGTTTCGGTTATGTAATATCTTTTGCACAATTTTGCGTTGTGATCAGAGTTTTCAGCCTTCTTTTTAAAAAATTTCTAGGTCTTTAGAAAGTTTTTAGCATCTTTCTAGATGAGATCTACATCATATTTGACTTGTATTAAAATGTTCCTACCATATAATTTCATTGAACTACGTGTTAAAATGCTCATCAATATTTCCAGTTCAAATTTTTGTTTATTTTATATTATATCCTTGTTCCTGGTCATCTTCTGATTGCTGTTGTGCCCAAATCATATTTTGCACATCCGTTCCAGATACTGCCTCATCTCATGACAATCATGACATCACAAAACCACACATCTATGTTTAGAAGGTTTAATTTAATATAAAAAAAATATTTTTAAAATAATAGAAATAATAATAGATAAAGATAAGTTTTTTATTAAGTTTCAAAGGACACACATTTTTAGATAAGTTTCTTTGGTAAGTTGAATTCAAAATCGCTGCGGTATATTATTTTTTTCCAAATTTTCTAACATTCACTGACTGCAACGCATGGTCCATCATCTCCATTTCTAAGTTCACCTTCTGCACAAATACATCCAGCGGTACAAATAGGGAGGCAAGCTACGTAGGGATTTTCACAAGTTCCTTGACAATGGGCATAACAATCAGTGGCTACTTCACCGGCAGGGCATTCTAGAAAGATATAATTTAAATAAAAGATATTTTGGACAATAAAATAAACTCACCAACTGGTTCTGGAACAACCAATTCTTCACCATCAGTATTTGGAAGTTCAATAAAGTCGTCAGCTAAAGCTGCAACGAAGAAACTCGCAACGAGTACGAAAACGAATACTTTCATTTTTGTTGGATTGAAATGGCTTACTGATTGTAAAGAAAAGACAACGGTCGAATTTATATACTCATCTTTAATTTAAAATTTACAAAAATAATTTATAATGATAGATTAATCATAAAAAAATTGACATGTTTTTTACGATCTTATCTAAAAACAAAAAAAATTGAATTATTGTTCTAATTTAAATGTATATCAACGCACCTTGAAGTTTATTATTAAATTTTAACGTAATATAAATATTTAAGTAAACCAACAACCCATTGATATCCAGAACGGATGCTGCTTGCTTTTTTATTATTCCAAACAGACAGCGTAAACCAAAATGATTAATAGACGTTTGTGTGTATAAATTTCAACGTCCTGTATACGAGTGATTTGTTAAATGGAACATCCTTGACAATCCCCTATAAACATTATTACACGGGAGCCAAAATAAACGTTTAAAATCCTTCGAGAAACGTTTCTCGAACGAGATACGTTTTAATATAAACCCTAGATATACGTTTCGAAATCGTTTTCGTGTTTATTACGACAAGTTTCATCAAGTTTGGCAAACAAAATAGATGGTTATATTGAACATTTTGAAATGAGAGTATCTAAATAATACATAATTTTTACTATTTTTATACATTTCAGGTTTATTTTAAGAATCATATTGTCAAATTTGACATAAGATGACAATTTTTATTGTATTCTTGTAAAAACTTTAATTTACTTCATTTTAATCATTCTTAAATTAAACTTATTATAATAAGCTCATTGTAAATTTACACAGTAATGGAAAAAATTATACTGATATGGAATAATTAAAGAATAGCATTTAGGAAATGACCCAAAAAAGGCGTTAATAATAAAAAAAATGTGCGGAAAAGTGTAGTAAGTGATATTCATCATCCGGCCTGTATGATGAACATACAATAACCGGAGACTCAATGGATCTCACATCCCTTATTAATAAACCACAAATCTTAACCTACTAAGTGAAAATAGATCTCGAATCCATTAACCTTAGCTTGACTGAAACCTAAGTGCACTCACATCCGACAACATTGCAACAGATCATAACATGGTCCTAATGAAGATGAGCATGCAAATTTGAGATGGAACCGAATGTGGAGTTAACCTGACAGAGCAATCAAACACTTATTCACAGGGCACGAGGAAAATTAATATCAACGTAACCAAAAACACGAAACCCTGAGTTTGCGAATCAGTTAGGGATTTGGCAGAACTAAAAAAGGAAAAATATTTTTCCTACAAAAGCACACTCACAACTAAAATCGTAGCTGGAACGTAGCTGGAGCCAATTTGGAAACCCAAAAAAACAGGAAATCTCCCGGAACCGACACCATACTGGATGAATTGGTCTAGTATGAAGCAACATAACCAACAGAAAAGCTTTCTAAACGTTATTTTATATCCATTATTTTCAAATAATATCGTTAAATAATGATTTTGATGTAAATGCTTATGCAATTTTCACGATATGCTAAAGAAAATTGTTGAAAAAATCCGGTTTTAAATACATCTTTCAGATTTTCCGAAAATAATTTATGAAATAAAGGCACCATTAATTATACAAGGTGCCTCACGTAAGCGGCAAAGTTCATAAATGTCATTAAGCAGCCGAAATACAGTTCTTTCTTAGACAAGGTTGTAGACAGGTTGTAGGAAATTTACCACTCCATAAACGGAAAGTATTTTTATACATACAGGCTGTTCTATAACGACGTACCGAAATAAACATATGTTATTTTAAATGGAATGATATAGATTTTATTGCGTGTTCTGATTCTACATACAAAAATATGTTGACTTTGATAAGATATGTTCATACTTAGTGCTTTTAGTTATTAAGTTATTTTAAAATAAACTTTTTTTAGCAATTAACGCTGTGTCCTTTAAATCTGACTTTTAGCGACTGATCTAGCTAGAAAATTTAAAATTTGTAAAAGTTGCTGCTTGGATATTCTTAAATAGAGCACCATTGACTTGTAGCGGCGTCTATGAAAAGTTTTGTTGTGGGTTATGCTAAGATTAAAAAAATCTAATGAGATAAACCAAAAATATTTAACAATAAACCAAAAATGTTTAACAATAAACAACAAAATTTAACATTAAAAAAATTATGTATATAATATTTCAACCCTAATTTAAAATGAAGTCCATTCATCAGAGCTCCATTGGCTCATTCACTATCAAAATCTTCTGCGGTAGATTTCTCATCAGAGAAATTCTTGTCAGCCATGTGCTGCAGGCTCAGCAGAAATCAGCATTTCTAAGGTTTCTTTACTATGTGGCATAGATTTATTTCGTGGTTTTTGTCTAATGCTAGACTTCATTACGTCTATATTGCATTGTTCTATAGAAAATTTTCTTGCTTAATTCTGACGGTACAGTCGAATATGTTTGTTATGTGCCTCTGCTCCTTCCTCTGATAACAACCCTATCGGCAAAAGAACATTTTCTATAACAATTGCCGCATGGCTTAGGATTTTGTGCATAGTAGGGGTGCCATGGATATAAGTTTATGTACATTTCCGTAGTCTCATACCCATATAGAGGAGCAAACTTTTTTAAATCCACTTTATGGGAACCTAAAATAACTTCCAAAATTACTTTTAACGGCTTATTATGCTTAAATACACACCGGTGATTTCGGCAGCAACTTCGGAATTAGCAAAAAGTCTTCTGCTGGTATTCCCAAAACCAACTCTCGGTATATCCACTAGTAGCCCCATTGGCTCCCTATTTTTTTTTGTACTTCACCCTTTTTTCTTTGACTATATCTTTGTCATGTTCCAACCTTAACTGCAATTTGTTCACAGGAATTTTGTATGCTAAATGCAGTATGCTTTCGAAAAAGCGAATCCTAGCATGCAGCACCGATACCCCAAACTGTATTGCGTCAACGTCGACAGTTTCTTTATGTTAGGTTATTAAATTTCTTTGATGTCGCACCACAAATGTAGCATCTCATGGTTCAAGTAGTGGCTGTTGGTGCATTGCATACTTTACGTCGACCATAGTCAGAGTCATGATGTGATTTGTATACAACAGCATTTCTCCTTGTACGTACGCAATTTCAGACTGAATGATATCCGCTATTTCTTTGACAAATTTAATCCTTATTGGTCGACAGTATCGTAGTGAAGAGGGAGTTGGATTTTGCCAAACAACTTTTTTGTTTAACTCTCAAACTAACCGTAACGGAATAAAGCAACTTTGGAAAATGTTGCTGTCGCTCCAATCGCCGTCCTTCATTTTTTGTTTGACGCTCTTCTGGAGTTTATCGTTTAAGTACATCTTCTAAATACGTAACCAAATGTTTCGCTGTGTGGTCCGATTTATTGCAAGGTAATTTCAGCGCATGTTTCTATTATCCGATACGCATCTTTCGCCTCATAGCAAGTTTTTTTTTCTACAACAATGTGTAGCTCGGATAAAACCTGTTGTTGCTATCTCTTATTATTCCATACTATCGTCTTGAAAAATCAGCTTCCACAAACGTTGACAGAGCGGCTGTCGGATCTAATTGTGACTGCATTTCAGACTGCTTGGTTGCTTTGTATGCCTTTTGATATGCTTTTCCTGTCTGCGGAGAGTTAGAAATGTCTTTAAGAATATTGGACGCAATTCTCTCTCCAGAACTTTGAAGGGATGTTTGAGCAGCATGCATTAACACATCTTTTTCTACAACTCTGCGAACGTCCTGTGTTTTTCTGCGCTTACTCCTTTCACTTGATACAGCAAATGCCTTTGATGGACGACCAGAAGAACCAACATTTCGTCAAAATGTGTCGAGTCTTGATCCTGCATTTTGTCAAAAAGTAGTCTACGCGTTATCACTTTAACCCTAGAGGTATCTTCTGATTCTTAAACAAAATGTCAATTCCTTTAAAACAAAAATAAATAAAATAGTAAAAAGCAGTCTTGTACTATATCATTCATTGACCTTGAAAACTATGATTTCACGAAAGATCGCGGGAGATCGCGGCTAATCTTAATGTGTTTAATTAGATGAAATACTTGGTTCTATGTAAAAATTAACACAACTAAAGGGACGGACCCTGAAGTATAACAAAATCGTTTTTAAATGCAAAAAAAGAGAATTTACTACAGCAAATATTTCAATCTACCAATACTCAATTTTTTCCTAGATTTACATAAAACTTAGTAATATTTTTTATGCTTACCTATTACACTTACTTCCATCACAATTTTCTTCACAACAAACTCTAAAATTTCACTTTTGAAACAACACCGTATGAACAATTAGAGCGATATGTCAAATCTAGAATGACACACGCCCGCGCGCGTGCCTGTTTAAATAGAGTGAGGGGTCCCACATTGTCCTATAGCTAATCAACATTCTCAGGCAGTTTTTTATTTTTACCTAAGACACATTTCAAATTTTGCATTTTTGGCCGCCTAATTAGCGGCTATAATCACTACTCAAGACTGACTAAAAGTCTTGTGAGTGGTAAAATAAAAGGAAAAGGAAGCATGGCTCAACAAAGAATGCACTGGCAAAGTACTAACTATGGGGACATAATTTAGGAACAACAATACAAAAAATGTCTATCTATAAATGTCAATATAAAGAGACAGAGACAGGGATCCAACCTATAGTAACCACACTATGGTTTTTAATTACTGATATCGAAGAAATTGAATACATTTGGAAGGAATATTTCAAAGAATTGCTGAGTGAAACAGTGGTAAATGAGGAAGAGTGATTAAAAGATGAAATTTGAGAGTAACAAGAACATGAATTAATAGAACCTCCTTCCAATAAATAACACTCACAAAGCAATAACTTCATTAAAACATAGAAAAGGACCAGGGATAGATTATATTCCCTTAGAACTCTTCAGAATAGCAAGTAAAATTCTTAAGGGAGCTTTATAACAACAGAACAAGGTAATAATGTGCCCCATATACAAGAAAGGGCACAGACTATTGTTGTATGATATTTCACGAAGTAAGTTACTGGAAAATCACACTAACGAATTACGTTATTATTAAATAGTAACGGATTCGCACAACTCATAATACAGACCGTTCTATCAAAACTACCGAGAAATATCACTGTTATGTACGGGATATAAGATATTCGGGTAAATAGCAAGTCATCCATATCCCGAAAAGATTATATGCGAATATCAAACCGGATTTAGTTGATCAGATTTTTACTATCAAAAAAATTCTTTGGAAAGCATGGGAATATGATGTAGATATGTTCAACATATGTATACACTTCAAATAAACATACGATTCTGTCGATAGAAAGCCACTACTTAACATCCTTAGAGAATTT